GACCACACTGTCAGTGTCGCGCGTTACCCAGAGCATTGCTAGCATGTACCTATCCTTCACCATCTCCTTAGCCATCGATCCACGCCCAGTGACTTGGGTCCAGATCGAGCAGTGGATGGTGTTGCCAATTAACGGCCGCCGATGCCGATCTCACCCAGCATGACACCGGTATACCCGGCGGCGGCCTCGCCGCTCGGCGCTGACGCACAGCTATACGCGTGGGCGGGCCCACGACGGTGTCACACACGAGGCCCTTCCCCTCGGCGACAGCCACGAACATGAGTTCATTTGTGTCATCTCATAGTACCTACACATTTGGGAAAAGTTCATTTGTGTCATCTCATAGTACCAACACCCAACGGTTGCAAATCTGTTAGTAGCTTCGGAAGGATCCTAAAAGATAATGTACAGTATGTTGAGTTATTTCTTTTGGAATGCAGTTTGAAAGATGTGAGTTCATTATGACCAAACTGGCTCCAAATTTGCTTACAGAAGATAGCAGTCACCGTGCCATTGTGTGCATTCAGTTTAACAATAAATGATGTATATGGAAACTGAATAGTTATGGAACAAGTAAACAAATAGATCAAGTTTGGTGCACCAGATTGTTAAATGTTTACTATGGTATGTGCTAAAAGTTTACCCTTTGCCCTTAAAATTAGAGAAATTATTCACACCTTATTTCACTTGGTGTTTGCACCAAAATTGAATGCCTGGCACCATCGTCACGACAAAGGAGGAGTTGGTCCCCACGAGAACCCCATTCAGGCTCTTTCTAAGCTTCAACTTAGTCTAATCATAACTTAACTTTGGTTTTCTTTATGTACATCAAATTACCATGTTTGGAAAAAATTAAGGTACGATGTAACCAAGAACTAATTTAAATAAAGATTGGATCATGTTCATATTAAGCAAAGAAGTTAAGGACTTATGTCAACCAAGTTTCTCAATCTTATGGTATGGTGTGGTCCTTTTTAAGATAGGGAGGGATAGGTAGAAAGGAACATATGGGTTTTGAAGGGCTGCGAACTTCAGTTTACATTGGTTCAGCCTTTCAGGTACCCATGTACAGATGCCCTTGCATATTTATGAAAAAAGTTCTCGCTGTCACCCTTAGTTTTTGTTTCTTTGGATTTGCACATAAATCCTATGTACTATGGTTTATATTTTAAGCACCATATTTGTGTACATTTAACTTATTATATTAGGGATCTTCTAATCCCTCTATGTGACATTCTCTGCTCTAGAAATCTTTTTGGATTAATGTACTATATTTGGATGAGTCAAGAGAAAGAGAAAACCGAAAAGTCATGATATCTTTGGGAAACAATAT